GCGACCTCGGGGGGCGGGTTCGTAATCTCCTCCAGCCTCGCTACGATGTCTCGCAGTGCCGCGATACGTTGTTGTCCCGATTCTCCCTCTGCTGCCGCCGCTACCACCTCCGACCCTCCGCCGCCGCCGCCGCCGGAAGTCGCGGAGGGGCTGCCGACGGTAGGCGCCGCCGCTCCCACCGCTGCCGCTGCCGCGCCACTACCGGGGCTACTTGTCGACCCGGCAGCAGCACTTGACGGGGGCGTTGGGGTGGCGGAGCCCGTCGCCGGTACGGCCTCCCCCCCCGTTGCCGCGGCACCGGCGTCGCCTGATGACGACCCCCCATCGGCGCCGCCGCCGCTGCTGCCGTCGGCACCAGCTGAGGGCGTTGCTGCTGCTGCTGCTGCTGCTACGGGCTCAGCTCCCGCCGCCGCCGCTGTTTCTCCTTCTGCAGCCGCCGCGCCCGCTGCTGGCGCCGCTGCGGCCCCCGGCGTGGGCGCCGGTGCTGAGCGACCGCAGCACGTGATGTAGTAGCCCAAACCAAAAATAAAAAGGTGGGGGGACGGGGTTACGTTTGTGAGATTTGGGGGGCGTGCGCTTTGGTCAAACAAACGCCTCAAGGCGGAGATGCAACGGTTTGGGCATGTCGGACATGCTTAGATATGCATTTATCATAGTGTGCACACGTATCTGCTCATCAATACCGCTAGCAGCCTACGCGGCCTTTTCGCAAGCTAACATATTGCATGAAGTATGGAATCGGTGAAATTTCGGTGGCTTCGGTTAGGGTTGGGTAGGGTCTACGTAACCCTTGCCTATCTATTTCACAAAAGGTAAAATTGTTCGAATAGACAGAATAAAATGCCGTTTAACATGCCATTTATTGGCGGAACAGGTTCGGATTGTAGTTTCATTAATTGTTGGGAAACCTGGGGTCACGAGGGGAAGAAATGCGAACCCCCTTTCCTGTCATTCCTTCGAGATGAGAGCACAAAAGTGGTGTAGCACGTCGAGCAACGAGCGGAAGCTACAGAGCGTGCCAAGAGAAGGGACAGCAGTAGCTGTGCCACGTAGAAGGCGGCAGAAGAGCAAAAATAAAGAATCTGCAAAAAAACAAAACATGCATTTCTTCCCTGACACTACTGCATAGATAAAACGCATGCGGAAGCTACAGAGCGTGGGAAGAGAAGGAAGGACAGCAGTGGCTGTGCAATGTAGAAGGCGGCAGTAAAGCAAAAGTTAAGAATCTGCAAAAAAAAAAATGCATTTCTTTCCGGATTCTCTACCGCGTAGATAAAACTCTTTTTCTCCCCTGCCGCTCTATGCGTAGGCATCTCACCAGCAGCCGGGGGTGCCGGGTGTGTGAGTAGGTACTCCATCGCTACCTCCACGCGGTTAGTCTCCGTCGCCCGAAGCGCCATCAGCACGTGCTCGCGGGTGAAGCCCATCTCCACGAGCTGCGTGATCGTGCGCTCCTCAGGGGCGAACGGGACCGGAGCAGGGGCCGGCTCTCGCTACAAAAAAACACATGAGAACAAAAGAATACAAATACAAGCGGGGGGGGG